GGAGTTGGAGGGGGTTTGTGTCCTAGTTGTGCAAGGAGCAAACAGCATTAAATTTACCTCTCGGATCTTCCCATTTGAAAATGTCCTTTTGGGTATCTCGAGGGCAGCCATTTCCCACTGGGGGTAACTTCCCACCTTGCCCCTCACTCTCTCACCATCTTGTTGATTATACATGCTGCCAGCACACCTCCCCCCACTCCATTATTTCGGGAAATTCTGAATTCCTCTTCCTTTATAGTGCAGCAAGAGCCCCCTCTAACCCCTTCTCAGCTCAGCTCCAGGCCTACCTTGTCATTTCCAAAACGCATCAAGTCCCTAGTTGAGTAAAAGAGTATCTTGAGATGAACATCATCCACTCTGCTTAGAGAGCAATTGTTTTGAGTAGCACTTTTTCAATGTGCTTTTAAAGTATCATGAATACTTTAAAAAGTATTACTACATACTTTTAAAAGATTATGAAAAATAGAAAGTATTGTTTCCCTTCAATTAGTCTCTCCCCCCTCTTCTCCCAGCTTTCCTGGTGAACCCCCTCCTTTGGTAGCTGGAAACCCAAGGGGAAGAGTCACGCCTGCTGTCTGGGGCCCCTCTTGGCTCTCTGCTTCTTTACCCCTGCCCACGCCCCCATCTCCATTAATCTGATGGCATGTTCAGGGATATTCTCCAGTCTCTCGTGATGATATCACACCCCTAGCAGAAGATGGCTGAAACTGGGGAGGCCGATGCACTGGGGAGAGAGGGTACTTCTTCACATAGAGTCTTGCTCACAATGTTCATCTTAGAGCCAATGTGGAGGACACCCTTGCCCTAGTTCCCAGTACCTAGTTGGTCACCGTGGCATCGGCATTTTTACTTAGGACTGCCAGGCAGACAGGTGTTCTCTTTCAAGTTCAGCCCAGGACACCACAGGGCCATGTCTGCTGGAATGGTAGGGTCCTGGCACCAGTAACGAGAGTCCAAAGGAGGGGTGGGGTGGTGTTTGTGTGGGAAGCCTTCCAACATGCTCTATGCCGTGAGTCCTCATGATTATCTGTCCATCCATCCAGGAAACAAGCATCTGTTGTTGTCAGAAACTTCTCCTGACATCAGGAGAAGAGTAATTAATCCGTCCCCACTGAGTCCACCGTCCAGTGGGGAAAGACTCAAACTGATAAAACGTGCCAAGAGCTCCCTCTAGGGAGACAGAGGAGGGCCAGCACTGGTGGAACAGGAGCATTGGTAGAGAGGACGGTCCATGTGCAATGCCTACACACTGTCTCACAGCAGGTTTCCGTGGCTAGAATCCTGGGAGCACGAGGTGATGGAAGCCTTGCCCGGAGGCTGAGCGGACCGGCACAGACCTTAGCCCTGAGAGCTCAGACTCCATCCTGAGGCTGCTAACGGGAAGGATGAGATTTGTGTATCATAAGGTGCACCTGGCAGCAGAGCAGAAACAGTGCTGGCGTCAGAGCAGTTGGTAGGGACGCTGGGCTCTGTATCCCTTACACTATTGCAAGTTCATGGAGGGGGAGGGCCTGTGGCTATTGTGTTCACCCTTATTCCAAGCCCAGACCTTCGTGTACCATGAGAGACCTCACAGCTTTACGGACTGAATGTTTATGCCCCCAGATTCATATGCTGAAACGCTAATTCCCAATGAATTATTTGAAGGTGGGGCCTTTGGGAGGTGATTAGGTCACAGGGTGGAGTCCCGTGGGTGGGACCAGTGCTCTTAGAAGAGCCCCCAGATGCTCCCTTGCCCCTCCTCCATGTGAGGACACAGCGAGATGGCATCTGCGAACCAAGAAGCAGGTCCTCACCAGACACAACATCTGCTCTACCTTGAGCTTCCCAGTGTCCAGAATTGTGAGAAATAATTGTCTGCTGTTTATGTCCTCTAGTCTACGGTATTTTTGTTACAGTAGCCTAAGCTAAGAGCCAGGGTGGAGACTGAGAGTGAGGTTGCCTGGGAAAGGTGGGGCTCCTGGTGGATGCTGCCTCTCGTGTCACAAAGCCCATGAGAGGCAGGGCAGGAGGGGAGGGCGCAGGGTGCTCAGTGTGCCCGAGGACGCTGCCACATCAGTGACCTGGCCTTTACACACCCTCCGGGGGCGGCTGCACTTCTCTGCTGGGGCCACTAGGCCCTTTGGACCAGCTGTCACCTCCCATTCTTCAGGTTGCTCCTCCCTGCAGGGCAGCAAAGCGGGGGGTGGGGGGTGGTGTCGGGGACAGGGACAGGACTCCCGTTCAGGGCTGGTGGACAACCCTACCACTGCCTGCAGTCTCCTGGCTCACCTGCCACACCTCCCTGCGTGCCCTGCACAACTCCTGCCTTTGAGGTGGTGAGGGCAACGGTAAAGTCATTTTGGGGCAGGGAACAGGGGACCCCGCAGTTCTGTTTTCTCCAGGAAAAACACTCTTTGACCACACCAGAGTTTGATTGGATTAAAAAAGTGTATTGGATTTCCAATACTAAATAAAAACATGAAATTGTTTTTTTTAAAAAGCCATAGAGTTTACAGCATCAACTACAGAAAAGGCCAAACAAGTGTGTACAGAGACTAGTCCCCAGCAGTCCTCCAGGCCCCCCTCCAGCAGGCGACAAGGCAACAGACACATGTGTTCCAAATCCTCCTGAAGGAAGCTGCTGAACAGCAGCTCAACTAGACATTACAAGACACACAATGGTTTAATTGCAAAAATCACAGGAAAATGTAAGAAAATGTATTAAATTGTGAAAAGGTGCAATACAGAATAGCTTTCCTTTTTAATTTTAAAAAATCCCCCGACTTTGAACAGTTATTTTATTTAAAAATAGGCCCCGCCCCCCCCGCCCCAGCTCTGTGGCAGTATCCAGGTTCCAAGGCCCTGAGGTAACACGAGTGTCAGGGTTCACGGGAGGGAATGCCCCGAATACCGAGCACGTTTCTTTGGGCAAAAGGTAAGACAGTTTCTGGGGAATCTAGCCCTCCTGGTGTCCAGAGTGCTCTGAGTGCTCTGTTCAGGATCAGTTGAAGTGCACTGGTTTTCCAGAATCCCGCCTGGCACTGCCCTCTACGACAGGCCGGCACGGTGGCGGGGAGTTCCGGCATTGCACTTTTCATTGCCCCCCAAAATAATAAATACAAAGAGTTCATCTTCTAAAAAAGCAAATATGTGTTAAGACCTAAAAAAGGAGAAGTGACCAATGTACAAAGGCAAGTGGGGTGCCTGCAGGGCCAAGGCGGGTAGGCTGGGCGCCCCCTGGTGGTCTCAGCGAGCTGAACTCTTCTTGGCTACAGAACCAAAGCCTGATGCTCCTATACTGCCTTCCACACTGTCTTCCGGGGAGTGGTAGGGAGTAGGGGAAGATGCTTGAGGGTCAGTCCTGTGTTTTGTCGGAATAGATTCTCAATAGTAAAAAACAAAACAAAACAAAAGAAAAAACAAAACAAAAAAACCCAAAAAACCCACCTCAGCTCCTTACCTTTTTAAGACAAAGAACATGAGAACTGTTGGCAAAGGCAAAGGCTTCTGTGTATGTGGCTGGGCCTCTCAGCATTACTTCACCAACCTCCTGCTACCCTGTTCTAATTAGGGGCTTCACTGAGCTGCTGGGATGGAGGAGGGGGCAGCCGCCTCCTCTGTCCCTTTCTGCTGTCCCTGTCCCGTTATCTACAATGTTCAGAAAGGAGAGCTTCAGGGGTGCTACAGCCCCTGCCTGCCTCATCCTGGGAACGCTTTTCCTAAGCGGCTCTGAAACACGGCAGCGAGAGCCAGGCTGGCTGAGGACAGGAGCTAGAGAGAAGCAAGGAGTCCTGTGAGGAGACAAAGTTCCTTCCTTCACCTCTGGCCTCCCCCAGGGAACACATGATAACAGCAGGAAAGGGACTCCATCTTTTCCCCCGATTTCCCAGGAACAGGCTTGGGCTCTGGTCCTGTTCCGGCATCACTCCTGTAACTGGAAATATGGCACTGGCGCCTCAGCATGGACATTCTTATCAGGATATGACCAAGACATCAGGGCAGCTAAGTTCTCGAACTCACCTATTGCACAGAAGAATTTTTTTTTTTTAACTAGATCCAAACGAAACTCCAGTTGCAACTTAGTGACAATAGAGATGGACATGCCAGGAAAGGACAATAAAGAAGATGCTTCCATTCTCTGCAGGCTTCTGGAAGAAAGTACATCGACTGAAACATTCACAGACCTCAGCAGCCCCGCCATTTCCTATTCCCAACCCCCCAGCCCACCCCCACCCCAATACTTTGAAACTGCACAGAAAGCAACAAACAAGTCTTTTCAATGTTACATTTCATTCAAATAGATCTGTAATCTCACAGTGATGAGAGGAGAAAGTCAGGCCTTTAATAATTATAATAAAAAAATAATAAAAAAGCTTACAAACAGCAATGCAACATTTCCTCCCCCCTCAAAGTGATGGATTAACAGCTGGTAGAGGATGCAATGACTTGGAATTCAAAAATAAAAACAAAAACAAAAAACAAGCCAACCCCTGGAACAACCCACACTGTCAATGACTTTCCATACATAATTCAAACAAGCAGTCAAACGTCAACCACTTGTGGAGAACACCATGGACTCCCTTGGTTTTTGATAGTGTTTTTCTTTTGAAGGTAAAATAAAATAGGACACAAATAAAATTGTACATAAATGCCAATGTCTACACTCCATAGAGGCGATGCAGTCGCAGCACGAAGACACAGCCTGACCACAAAGTGAAATGTAGGTCGTCGCACTTCTTGCCTCTTCCCTGGACACAAAATTTTGGCCCATGGTGCCCAGTCCTGCAGGGTGTCAGCAGGCAAAGGGAAGCCGCCTCGACACAGGCTTCTTCCAGGCTGACCAGGAGAAGGCAGGTGGCCATGCCCGGAGCCAGCCCCACACAGGGGCGCTGACCGGTCTGCTTGCTCGCTCTGTGTTCTCAAGTGCTGTCCTCACGTGCTCTGTACAATCCTTGCTTTCCAGGCTCCGTCCCAAGACTTCTAGACCCAGGTCTGCAGTCATGTCCCGGGGAAGGTCGTCATGCTGTCGTGATGGCGTTTAGGTCCTTCATTAGTCCTTCCAGGTGGGCCATCTCTTTGGTCAGCTCATCTGGTTCATAGCTCTGCAGGAAAGAGAAAGCAGATAAACCCTCAGCATGCTTCCTGGCTCAGAGGAGATGCTCAGTGTACATCTGCTCAATGAATGAGTGCATCTGCTTCACACTTCTGGGCCAGCACCGAGGATCAGTGTGACCAGCACACTCGCAGGTTGTGGGACATGCACCTAGACATCGTGGCTGGGCTGGTGGCCCAGGAACTTACACTCTCGGAGTCTTCCAGCATCCTCGTGGTCTCCTGCACTTCAGGGGCACTGGGAACCACCACTGGCATAGGAGGCCGGCTCCTTCCTAAAGTCCCAATGGAGGCTGTCTTCACCGAGTGAATGTGATGGTTCAGAGCTGAGGGGGAAAGCACACCATCAGGTGTAGGGCTGAGCCCGTTCCCCCCATTCCGCACCAAGGCAACTAAGGTCCAAATGCTGCTTCTGGGTGAGGGGCGCACCCAGACCCAGTGCACAGATTGGGCTCTGAAAAGGCGGCACTAGATGGAAGGAGGGAGAAAGTGTGGCATCTCAGAGGCCAGAGAAAATACTCCATTTGGCTTTGGAAAACTAATCTACTCCTATGGTTTTCAAAGCGTCACCACACCTTGGTGTATCCATGGAATCCTTGTGGGATGTCCAGGAGGTCAAAATTCTTTTCATAATAATATGAAGACATTTTTCACCTTTGCACTCAGGGTATGAAAGCAGTGCGTAAAACTATTGGAGCCTTAGCACAAATTAAGGCAGTGGCACCAAACTGTAAGTCATCAGCTGACACCCCTTGCAATGAAAAAAACAAAACAGTTTGACTGTTTCATTAAGATCATCCTTAAGGAAGTAGTAAAAATTATTTTATTAAATCTCAACTTGATTACACATCTTTTCAATATTCTATGCGACAAGATGGAAAGTCTGCATAAAGAACTCCTGCTATATACTCAAGGATGGTGGCTGTTTCGAGTAAGGCATTTGTGACAGCTTGAGTTACAAGCGCAATTGTTGCTTTTATCATGAAGCACCGTTAGGCCAAAGAAAGGCAAACCAGTTATTCAGACTTGAGCGTTTGTAGAAATTTTCTAGAAAGTACAAAAAACTGGTCACTTCAAGAGAAACAATGGACAGTAGTTACTGCTAGCGATAAAATTTAAGTTTCAAGTGAAAATTAGAATCCTGAAAAACTTGTGTCTGCCAGCATGAGCTTCAGAGCCTCCCAATACTCACAGCCTTTGGGGATATTAATAAATGTATTTTTAGATATTGTACAATGAAATAGGTCAAGACTTGGAGGATCTGTATAACTTACTGAACCAGTATTTTCCAAATGACTAATGTGTGATGTTTGATATCATGCACTCAAAGTACAAGATAGATGGATTTTAATGGAACAGAGTACGAACAGTTCATGGGTATGGTTTCTGATTCCACATTACAAACAAACCTATAAGAAACTACAACTTCTTGCATTTTGCTATAGTATCAAAAAAGAATATCCCGTTATCTGAAAAGGTTACAAAAATACTCTTCCCTTTTCCAACTTATCTGAGGCCAAGATTTTCTTATATTTCAACCAAAATAACATACTGCAACAGACTGAGTGCAGAAGTAGGTATGAGAATCCAGCTACCTTCTATTAAGCCAGACATTACAGAGATTTGCAAAAACAGAAGACAATGTCACTTTTCTCACTGTATTTTTGTTTTGAGAAGTTATTTTTCAGAAAAATAAGCTATCTTCAAATGATAGATTTATTGCTATTTTTAAATGCATTAATAAAATAGTTCAAAATGTTCTGAGTTTTAATTTCTAATATAGTAAATTATAGACAGATATAGCCCATGTGAAGAAAAGTTCTCTCGGGGAGCCTGGGTGGCTCAGTCGGTTGAACGTCCGACTTTGGCTCAGGTCACGATCTCATGGCTCGTGAGTTTGAGCCCCGTGTCGGGCTCTGTGCTGACAGCTCAGAGCCTGGAGCCTGCTTCAGATTCTGTGTCTCCCTCTCTCTCTGCCCCTAACCCACTCACATTCTGTCTCTGTCTCTCTCAAAAATAAATAAACATTAAAAAAATTTTTTCTTTTAATGAAGAAAAAAAGAAAAGCTCTCTCATGGTCTCAATAGTTTTTAAGAGTATAAAGGGATCCTGAGACCAAAAAGCTTGAAAACCACTGACTTACTCTAAAACAAACCATCATAACAGATAATAATGTGGAGAAGTGGGGAAAAGCATGCCTTTCAGGTCAGGGGACTTTGTTGGGCCACGTGAATCTAGGGACTACAGACTTCCCATCCAAAGGGTCCCCTGGCTTCCGTGTCTTGGCCTCCCTGATCCTTCTCTAGGTTGTAGGAACCCTACAGGATGATGCACTTCTGGGAAACTGAATGGATTAGATCTGTTGCCCATACGCATGGCCACTGGGTTTTACCATCAAGGATTCTGCACCCAAAACACGATTTGAAAAGTCAGCCCTCACTCCCCACCAAATTATTCTCTGGTTCATACGCATTCCCCAAGGAGGGGAGCCCATGTACTTCCTGAGAGGGGCAATGACTTACGGCTACTCTAAATTGCTGGGATAAGCTTGGAAGATACTTGCTTTGTTATTTTCAAAGAAGTGACTTTTGCCATAAGCCAGAGCCAAAGGGTCCCTCCAGTGGTGCTGCCGCCCTCACTCACCTTGCTGGGATAGTAATGGTGTGCTTGGCAACGCGGGATCATAGGTGGGAGGACCTGGGGGCGGGATTGCCGGCACAGCAAAGCTCTTCAATGGGTGGGAAGGGCGAACGTGGGCTGTAGGAAGACTCTGGCCTGAATCTTCCTCTTGGGAGCTGGCCAAGTAAGAGGAACTGGTAGCACCTTCAGGATCCTGGTGATCAGTACAGCATGTTTGAGACGAGGAGGCTGGCATGGTGTCAGTGCTGGGGGTATTTCGAACGGATTCTACAGCAGGAAAGTCTAAATGTTAGCATTTCTTCTATCATGAAACATACGCACATACCGGGGTTCTGGCTACTTCTAAGGGCCCCGAAACCAGTTCAATAAGCACTTAGGATCAGTGCTAGTCCAAGGGAAGATGGTTTAGCACTACTGACAAGGCCAGGTAGGAATGGACTAACCTAAGAGAGTCCCAAAGAATTTTGTCAACCAGCCGCTCTGCTGGAACCTTCTCACCTACACAGCTAAGTGGTCACAATTTTACAGATTTAAAGTTCTCCTCAGTACTTACTGTGTAGTACACAGAAAGGTTCCTGAGACTACTGTCTATTAAGATGTAAATAAGTATAAAAAGAGATTAAAACATCACTCCTTGACACTCAGCCTTAGAAGCTGGTCTTTCATAGAGTACACATCTAGTCACTAAGGCTGGCTGGGTACCTGACAAGTATCTGCCCCACAAGGCCTGGTGGTTACTACAGGAGAAGCAATGTCACAGGTGGTGAATATGTCCTTTGCGGACTGTGTGCAGCCTCACCAGAGCAACAGCCCCACAGTCAAGTGAGACCTGGACAACCAAATAGTCCAGAGGTCTGCAAATAGCTTTAAGAGCATGCCATAGGAGGGGTGTTTGGGTCCAGAGGGAAAAACAGGGGTAGATCAGCTTGGAGAAGGGGGAGACTAAGGAAGAACATGATAATCTCAAAATACATGAAGGGGGCTCAGAGCTGTTCTAGAAGGCAGCATGAGGGGATGGAAAAAGCACTGGCTTTGGAGTCTGATAAACCTGGACTCTAATCCTGGCATACTAGCTGGGTGAATGTGGCAGTCACTGAAACTCTCTGTTTTCTTTTCACCTACAAAACAGGAAGAATAAAATAACTCACTGAGGATTGAGAAGATGTATGAAATGTGCTGAACACGGGACCTCAATAATTGATAAGGCTCTTTTCTTTGTAAATTACTCAGTGCTTACGCTGAGCCAGGCACTATGCTATGCCCTTTGTATTCCTTACCTCCCTCAGTCCTCATACTAACTCAGAAGGCACTGGGAGGTTAGGCATCGCCCAAAGATGCAGATAGAATGGGTAGGGCAGGGATCGGAACCCCTGTGCTCTGACTCCCAAGCCCATGCTCTGAACTACCACATCAAACTGCCCTTCCATTTCCAGTACCACATGGCCCCTGACCCTGCAGCGGCAGAAGCAGCACCAAGACCCAGGCTGGCCATAAGAGGAAGCCCTTTCAAACAGGGGTGCAGACCAACATCCCTGTCCTGAGAAGGGGCCCAGAGGCACCAGCTCTCCACAAATAGGCTGCACCAGCTAGTCAGGAGGAGGGCCTCCCCTGACTCCTAGAGTCCTCAACCTTAAAAAGGAAAATAAACCCTTTTAAGTAGTAACGCATGAGTAGCCTGAAGAAATCCAACCTATTTCCCTGCCTGTTTTGCTGAGGTATCACTGAATCTCTTCCCTTGGGCTCTTAGAAGACAAGTCACACCAGTCACGAGTGCTACTCCCTTAGCTTAAAGACCTTGGGTCTCAGGGATGAGGGACTCCCCTCCCCCTAGTGCTGAAAGCCTGGCTGTGATGATAACCCTACTAGGACTAGATCACTTCTCATCCTCTCAAGAGGTGCACCAAGGACCTTGTTTCTTGTGCTTGCTTAAACAGCCACAGCCACAGCCACAGCCACAGCTGGGAGCTGCTGGACCCACTCCGTGTGATCCTCGGCCAGAGAGAAGCTGGTCAAGGAGGGTTGCAGGGAGTAGCAGAGAAAAAGGCAGGCTCCAATTGGGACCGTCAGCTTGTATCGGCAGGCGGTTGGGTCAGCTCTGGGCACAGAGGCCTACCTCGGCTGCCTCAACGGCCTTAATTTCATACATAAGCTTCTGAGGGCCAAAGAGATGGTGGGAAATGTAAAAAAAGAAGATAGGGCTGCCTACATGAGTTAGAACCCTGGCCTGCTGCCACAGACCAGGGCTGTCTTGTGGTGTAACTACAGAGGGCACCAGGCACACTATACTCTCAGTGAAGGGTGTGCCCTGAAAGTGTGCAACACTGCTGGCTCACGAGGAAAACTATGCTGTAACTAAACTTCCGCTTGGTGAGGAGTCTACTTCCTGACTGACTTACCTCTCAGAGTTTAAGACACACAAAGTTCACACTGGCCAAGGGCTTAGACAAAAGGAAAGTGCTCTTCCTACGTCAAGTGGTGGTGACATAGTAAATGGTCTCCAGAGCAAGGACTGCCCTGGCCGGTCCGAGTCACGCCTAGCCCACATGTGCAGGGCTGGTGGCAGCTCGGAGCTCCAGAGACACAGGGAAATACAACAGTGAGAGAATGCAGATGATTTCTAGAGACTTGCTCTATGTTTCAAATCTATCTCCAGTGACTTTCCCAGTCATTAGTTTACCTTCTTTATCCCCCTGGTCATTAAAGTGAGGAACCCTCTAGTGATGCAGATCTTTACTTTGCCCTCTCTTCACTCTCTGCCCAAGTCCGTACAGACTAGTGCTTTCAGCAGCACTAGACTACCTGGCTGAGGGCTGGGCGGGGCTGCCCTGCTTCTTGCCAACCTTTGACCCCTCCTAGTCTGAGAGGAAGGAAGAGGGGCTAATCTGGTTGGGAAGAGCCTACCATGCACTCTGGCAGGCCCACATCTTAGTGGGTGGGACTCCTCTGCCTTAAAAATAGAGAAACAGAGTCAGGACATAAAAATGCTTTCTTTCTTTTTTTTTTTTTAATTTTTTTTTTCAACGTTTATTTATTTTTGGGACAGAGAGAGACAGAGCATGAACGGGCGAGGGGCAGAGAGAGAGGGAGACACAGAATCGGAAACAGGCTCCAGGCTCTGAGCCATCAGCCCAGAGCCCGATGCGGGGCTCGAACTCACGGACCGCGAGATCGTGACCTGGCTGAAGTCGGACGCTTAACCGACTGTGCCACCCAGGCGCCCCTAAAAATGCTTTCTAAGAGCACATCTGGAGGTCTGCTCTCTGGTCCCTGTTCTGAGACTAAGTCTGTGAGCCAGAGGGTGGTTCTCCATACAGCCTCTGGCAGATGGTCTCTCCCTGGGGCAGGACCCCAAACCTGGATCTTGAGGGAGAGAGCATAAGGCCAATTTCTGACGTGGGTTTAAGTGGCGTTGTCCAAACCAAGTAAAGCTTTGGGAGAGGTAATTGTGGGAGTCAGTAGATCCCTAAATAAAGCTTTGACCTTCATTTGATGTTTTAGGTATATTTCAAATTGATCAAAACTTAAAGGGGAGGGGGAGTGTTACTGGCAACCCAAACTTCTAGCATGAGGTTTTGAGGTGCTTTTAAAAAATGGAATTCACTTGAAGTTCTCTTGTTTTCCAGAACGACCAAAATTTAGTCCTACTATTAACGTCATAACTATTAATAGACAAGTTTCAAATGGTGGAAAAAGAACATACTGTACATATGAGAAGCTACTAGATTTTTGCCTTAAAACTGAGAAGATGGAAGTTCATTCTCATCTAATGAGGAATTACAGTATTTGTTCCGTTTACTGTCTCCTCACCTTCACGATTTCCTCCCTAAAACTGTTTTGATAATGCTATTTCCTGAGATATCCCAACTGGGGCATGGTTGTCTGGCAATGCACTGCAGATTTTTAGGCTAATTTCTACCTGTTGTTTAGAGATGATCTATGTCTGTGCAGCCCCTTGTGACTTCAATCGTCCACCGGGCACATCCTGAGGTGTACAATCTGAGGCACAGAATTCAATGTGGCCCCGCGGTACTCCTCTCACTCCGGGCCACAGCAGGAGGAATGCAGTGAGACCTCAGATGAGAATTTACCTTATGGCTGCCCTCCAGACCCTCCCAACATCAGGGTGACTATGAGGCAAAGGCTACCTCTAGTGTCTGAAAAATCACCCAGAATGAGATTTCCTTTCAGATTGTAAGATTAAAAAAATAAAGAAACTTGAAAACATGACTGAATTAATAAGATGCAACTTGATGGAACAGGACATGGTTATGTGATTAGAGTTACTGCGTTTTTACTGAAAGAACACCTTGCACTGAGTACTTAACAACTTAGGGAGAAGAAAATGGGGTGAGTTTTACAGAAACAAATTTGAGTCAGTAACAGAAATGTTATGATACATAAATAACACAGAAAAATTCCAAATCCTTCTAAGCAGGGCAAGTCCTCCCCATCTGGGCTTGCCAACTCCCAGGATGCTTTCCATCGGGGGCTCGAGCCTCATCTCTCACCTGTGGAATTGGCCCTGTCTGAAAGGGACAGGGATGTGCCAATGGGCCACGGGCTGCCCGGGTGGTAGAGATGACTGCGGGCTGGAGGAGCGAGGCTGCTGGAGTGGAAATGATGGTGAGGGTTATCGAGGGGATGGATGGGATGGGCACTAATCACAGCTGTGAACGAACACAAGACAGAGAAGTGCTTAACATGCTTGCACACACACACAAGTACAGTTCAAGAGCAAAGCCGCCCCTGCCCCTCCCATGCGGTACGACCGTTCCCTTGGCTTCTGGGTGGCAGCTGGATGTGAACAATTAGCCATGGATTTTACATTTGTTTTTTTAAAAAATCAACATACTGCTAGGTATTGGTCTACACACACACACACACACACACACACACACACACACACACACACACCAAAAAAAAAAAACCTTGGAGGAATAGGTACTAAAATGTTTATGGGGATTATCTTGTGGGGAAGAGTGGTCAGGAGTCAAAAAAAAATTTCTTCTGGTTCACCTGTATTTTCCAATTCTTCTACAATAAACACGGATTACATGAGTTATTAAAACATCGAACTGAATATGTCACAAAATATAAATCCATTAGCAAACAAATGATGGTTGAGGTTTCTATCATTTTTTTTCTCCCGCTAAAAAAAAATACAAGTCTCTTTTCCTCTGATTATATTCCTAACACGTTCCGTTTTTCTTACAGTTGGATGAGGCATGCAGTAGGCATTGAGGCTGAATGAGTGAGTAGCCGCTTAATCAGTTTTCGTATCTTAAAAGGATGCAAATGGGCCTGAACTCCAAAGTTGTAAGAAAAGTATGGAACACAGGCCTATGGCACCATCTCTGACCGCTTCTCTTCTCGTCTGGAAGCTCAGCCACATCCATTCACATTTTAAAATATAAATGGATCTTTCCTAATTGCCTCTTTCCATCCCACAAAAGCTAAGGAATTAAATTTGCTGCATTTAGCTATAGAATCCAAGTTTCCACACAGATATCTCATATACAACTTTCTATGAAGACAAAACACTTCTTTAATGAGGCTTCATTATTGATTGAGATGCAAACAAACAAAACCAGAAGCCCAGCTGGGGAATAAGCCTCTCTTTGGTCCTCCCTTAGAGCACTTTTAGAAACAGAATGTTTAAGACCAACATGGTCAGCTCTAAACCCTTATACAGGCAAACAGGTGGGGCTGATAAGGAACACAGGGGATCTTTTTTTTCCCCTCTAAGTAAGGGCTTCACAAACTATGATAAAGCTTAATTAGCCTTTGGAGTCTATTAAATGTCTCTGTCATCAAGGATCTCCCTAGATCTTTGTGAGGCCACTCAAAATTACTCTGGTGAAGAAAAATCCTAGTCAATAAACAGGATGCTTTTATTCTCCAGCTATTTCCTGTCCTGGCCACTTGCTGGACAAGCAGATGGCTCCACCAAGAGACAGAAGGCTCAGGTGGTCCTTCGGAATAAAACACTTGGAAAAGCTGGCAGAGGAGGGTTCAGGGCAGTCTGGGAGTCAGCATTTCCTTTAGGGGGAAGATAGGTGGTTTTTAGGAGCAAGAAGCTTCAGAATCAGCATTTTCTAGAATTGAGGCTAGGACAAGGGAAAGAAGCCTCCTGATTTTTACCTAGGAAGTCCAACCTGCAAAGCATCCTAGGTATGCAGGACTCTAACAAAGAAAAACAAAATTGACTTCCTCTTTTTAAAGGCATTTCCAATCTTTCCAAGTAGAGTAAGTAGAAAAAGAAAACAATGTGAGAGTGCCTGCCTAGATTACAGCTGGCAATTACTAGCTGTCAGCTGACTTGGATCCTGATGCTTCTGAGCAAGGTCTTGTACAAGGCTGACCGAGCCCAGCCCAATGCTGGCAATAGGAAGGTGGATGGTGAAGACAGACTTCAGGGAGCTGCAGCTTGAGAGAAAGGACTGGAGCCACAGGCAGAAAAGGAGATCTCAAAACCTGAAGGTCATAAGTACATCAGGGTACCTGGTTTCCAGATTCCTGAATTAAAGATTCCACTCACTCACCCAACCATTAAGGCACAAATTAAGTAATACTGTATATTTATGTGTACACCTTACCCATCCCCAAAGAAAGAAAAAAGAACTGTTACCAACTGGTAGAACATATCTTTTCTCCTTAACATTTAAATATAAGCCAGTTCAGGTAAAAACTAAAATCTTATACGAAACAAATAAGCAGTCAAGCTACCATCTTCCTATAAATTAAAAGCAACTTTAATGGATTTACTCTTTTCAGACATTTATGTTTTAAACCTGGGGACCCCATCCTGGGCACCTCTTATAAGAGGAAAACCATGTTCTTCCCCCTGCATGTTTCCAAGTTCAGGCTCTTCATTTTTCATCATGGTCCCTGAGCAAAAACTACTTCGTGCAGAAATGACCTATTAATGAATCAGCCTTTCTCTTCCAAAGCTGATTTTTTGAGGCTAGTGCCTACATGTTTGTGCACAGTGTGTGTGTGCGTGTGTGTGCGCGCGCGCGCACACTTACACACTTGGGTGTTTCACCAGTTTCCAAGCATAGGGAGTCATGGTTCATTTCTTTGTGTGTAGGGTATCTGTGGTTTAAATCCCTGCCACTTGTCAACAGAGAGATGCCTGAGAGTTCTGAAATCAGACATCTTATGAAATGAATAACAAATTCAAAGGTTCATTTAGGTTAAATTGAAAAGTGATCTAATGGATGCTTTCAGGATGGGCAGTGTTAAGGCTTACTGGGCACCTGTTCAGCTTAGAGCAAATACTTCCAAGTTTTTTAAACTTGCTCTTAGTAGGCAGGTGGTTTTGTATCACTCTAGGCTGGTGCAGGGACCCGCACTGAGAGCCCCACTGTGCTAGCTAGTCTGAACTGCTTCCCTATCTTGAAAACAGTGACAAGGGAGAAGACACAGTCGTTTTAAAAAAGAAATTGGTCTGTCCCATTGCCTTTGGGTTTTCAGTCATGATATTTCACTTTGGATTTCAAATGTTATTAAAGAAGGCTAGGTAACTTTTATGCTTATGAAAGTGAGGCAAATAAGGTTTCAAATAAGGTTGAAAAATTGTGTTTTAAAAACTCTGTTTTATAAACTTAAAAATTCTCTAAAATATAAAGTCCACTAATTAGAAAAAATTCCACAGGTGCCCCATCAACACTGAGTGCGTATCAGGAAGTCTAGGGAGTATTGTGAAATTTGGCTTTCTCATTTGTGCCATGGAGATGCTATGCACATTGTCAGGGAGACTGGCAACTTCCCTGTTCCTGAGAGAACTGAGGGAGTTGGCTTTTTAGCTTATTTATCTAAAGAAAATAGTCTCACGAATAATATTAATTGCAAAGTATGCTTGGTATTTCTTCCCTCAAGGTGCCAGCTTCAGTAGGTTATCTGTTGTGTTAGGATCAAGTGAAGTCAAAGAGATCATTCATAGTTGCTCCCCAGAATGACTAGATATACTGATAGCACAGGGCAAATGAGAGGCTTTTAACTTACGTTGGGGTGGCTGGGAGTCAAAGGGCATCATCATTTTTGGTCTCATTCCTCGCCTTCCAGCCAGTGTAGACATGCTGTCCTCTGACTCATGCCCTAGACATCAAATACAGAGGTTAGTTACAAGTGTATGCCCTACGCCACTAGGTAGGCTCAGCAGTAGAACATCTCTGGTGGGGGACTCAGGACTCACAAACACCATGATGGGGATGAGGTGTTTCTGCAGGAAATGAAATAAAGAGGTGAATGACCAGTAGTGCATTACAGGAAGTCTCTGCTGAGAGTGAATGCAGTTGACACAATGCTGCCTACCATGCTTCAGTGTGGTGTCAGTGAGTAAGGGCATCCAGACCAGAACATTCTGAAAACCACAATGACAGGTAGACTCCAAATGAAGGGACAGGATGAAATGTACAGACATGGGGTAGGTTGTTCAAATGTTTGAGTATCGAGTTGGCAACACGAGAGGAGACCTAACAGATCCAGAAAGCTATCTCATCTGGGTACAGAACCTCTCCCCCACAACAAGCTAGCTATTCTTTTTTTTTTTTTTTTCCTTCAGGTTAGCTATTCTTTACCTGATGTTGACCAAATCCCACCACACAGATTTCTTTAAACCTAACCTCACACAGGAATCACCAAATTGAGGCAATTGTAGAAAACAGAAAATGATTTAAATGGAAATAGTCTCCCCATATTTGGGGATAACCTGCACCTCTATATGAATTCCGCCTTTGATGGATGTTGCTGTCCATGGAATTGTCAACTGGTGTGATATCTTGAGAGTTCCGAGGAATTGGAGTATCAGTCATGATGGGATTTGGGTCTGGAGACTTATCGATTGGTTTCAGCTCCAGTCTCTCATGATGGATCCAGAGGTCTGGGGGTTTGACATCTTTGGAGTTCCCTTTGTACTTGTGGGAACCATTCACTGATTTGCAAGCAGCTCGTTTCCTAGGCACAAATTTAAGAGGATTTTTTTTTTTAAAAGTCATGCTTTTGAACATATTTGTCAAAGGCTTGAGTGACTAAAACTGCCCATCTGAGAGATGCTTCAAGCAAAGGCAGAAACTAAAAACACACAAACAAAACAACAAAAAACTGAGGCAGTAAGTTCACTTCAGGGAATAATAAGGGTATCTCTGCTTTGTCCACCCGTATTTAGAGATACATACAAGGGCACATTTGACTACTGCTTTGTGACTATTTTTTTTATCAACAGATTAGACAGCATTTTAAGATTAAACAATCTCTAAAGCAGAAGGTTTCTCCTCCAGTTCCAAACAATAGACAGAAAACATTAATTAGAAATGTAAGAGTGGAGTAGAGATAGTCTATGGCTCATAAAAAAGGAAGGGAACATTTTAGGTAACCCAAACAAGGACTACCTAACAGGTAAAGTCACGAAAGCAGATGACAGTGTCTACTCCTCTGTGCCTTAATTTCTCCATTCGCTCACTCATCCACTCAGTAAGCATTTATTAGGTGTCCACTGTATGCCAGTCAATCCCTGTGTTGGCTTGCTGTGCCCACAGCATTTCTGGTCAAGTGAGGAAAACAGATATTGAACTAAGTATTTTAAAATATTCTGAACTTAATTAAATGCCAAGAGTTACAGTTACTTCTTAATAGTTGCACATAAGGTGGAGAGGACAAACCTGGAGGAAGAGGTGACGCCAAAGTTAAGACTTAAAGAAGGAAGGGCGGAAAATGCCTTCCAGGTGATGAAATCAGCTTATGTCAAAGTCCTGCAGCAGAGCACAACAGCCTGGTGTATCAGAGGGATTGTAAGAAGTCCTGAGTGGTGGGAGCACAGTGAACCATGGGAAGAATGACAGGAAATGATAGTGGAAAGAGAGCCCAGACCATAAAGGGCTTTTAGAGACATGCCAAGAGTTTAATTTCACTACATGGTTTTTAAGCAGGAGAGTAAGAAGATCAATTTTGAGTTAAAAATTTATGCTAACTGTGGTGTGAAGAACGGATTTGTGTGGTAGGGGACAGAACAGGAGACCAAACAGGATGCTACTGCAATAGTCTTAGCCATGACTGATGGTGGTTCAGGATAGTGGAATGAAGGCAAGGGGCACACTTGACAGCTATTCAGGGGGCGGAAATGACGAGATTTGGTCATTTGAGATTTGGTGGGGTGGGAGTAACAAAGCAAGAGGAGCAGATGATGAAGACAAGGTGTGAGGATAAGCCATTCACTAGCATTGGGATTAATGCAGTAGAAGCAGGTTTCACAGAAAAGATTATAAATTCTGTCTTGGATATGCTGAGTGCCTCTGAGACACTCAAGAGGAAATGCAGAAGAGGCAAGTGGTATGCAAGTCTGAGACTCAGAAGAGAGGCCCTGGCTAGAGACAGAAACACAGAAGTAACTGGAATGCCAACAGTAAATGAAGCCATGGGAGCAGATATCACTGGGGAAGAGCATAGAGGGAGAAGTCAGCCTAGGGCCAGACCCTAAGGAAGGTTTGTATTTGATGGCTGGGTAGACAGGAGGAGCGGTGAAAAAAAAAAAAACATACAATCATGAAATACAAGAGAAGAGAATGTTTCAAAAGGAAGGAGTAATTGAGTTGAACACGGTTGAGAGATTAAGATGAGGACTCAAAAAGGTCTACTGGCTTCAGCAATATGGAGGTCACTGGTCCTTACCAAAAGCAATTCTGATAAAAGCTGAAGGAGCAGAATCCAGATTGAAAAGGACTGAAGCATGAGTAAGCAATGGAAAAGTGGACGAGTGGACGCAGTAATCAAGAAATTCTGTGGTGAAGGGAAAGACAGGGGTTTGTAAAAGGCCAGTGGTAAGGACTACGCAGCAGAATAAGGGTTATAATTATACTGATTTCTTAAGATGAAAGAGGTCTGAGCACACTTAACTGCTGAAGGTATAGAACCGAGAGAGTGAAAGGTTGGCTGTGCTAGAGAGGGGGTAACAGCAAGTATAAGGTATTAGAAAGATGAGAGCCACTGATCCAGAGGATAAATGAACAACTGGAGGAAGTATGCAGAGGAAGGTTTTTGGATCCAATGATGGTACCCGGAGGTAGTTCTCATCTGCCAAGGGTAAGGCAGCTAATGAGGAACATGTCGAGAAGCAACGAGGCCCTAAATGCTCGGTCATCACTGAGGTTGTAAGAGTCTATAAACAGCTACAACTGAAATGGGAGGTACTTCAGGTATCAGAAAGGAAGAAAAGTGATCAGAAAAGCTCTCATATTTTTTAGTATTCATGGAACACCTGGAAAGATGGTCACTGGGGGAGGGGGAGGGAAAGCTCCACGAAGACTGAATACAATTCTTTTTGAAATGTTTGTTCATGTTTGAGAGACAGTGTGAGTGGGGAGGGGCAAGAAGGGAGGGGGATAGAGGATCTGAAGTGGGCTCTGTGCTGGTAGCAGTGAGCCCGATGCGGGGCTTGAACTCACGACCTGAGCTGAAGTCGGATGCTTAACTGACTGAGCCACCCAGGTGTCCCCTCGGTACAATTCTTTTTAAACCAAAGGACCCAAATCTGTAGGACTTGCAGATTCAAGTACAAAGTACAGAGCCTATTATCCACTCAGTTTCCTACCTCTCAATCTGAAGAATAAGTATTTTTTATTTACTTTGAATTTTAAATTCCCCAAAGCACTAAGGAATTATGTCACTTTGTTTTTTTAGACTCTTTTAAATAAAGATCTCAAGATTTCTGAAACTAGATATAAAACTAAGTTCATAAAGGTAAATAAATGTGAAATGCCAAACAAAGAAGCTTGCAGGAAAATTCTAGAGTAGAAATAATGTCATCTCTGAGGCTTTTAAGAGAAACCGTTTTCTATAATCAAAAGGGGACAAGGAGAGGTGTAAGAGGCAGTAACCAGGAGGCTTATAAAAGGAGCTCCCATTCCCTTGGAAAAGAGATGCTCTGCAAGATCTAGAAAGCTACTTTCTCTGGGCAAAAGAAAGATTCAGCACCTCACATAACGTACACAAAATGACATGAAGCTGTCACTAGTGGCAGTGACAGGGTGGTTAGTCTGTACTCGTCCTCGGTACTAAAACCAAATTCATTGTTATCAAACACATGCATCTCGCCTTGGGCAGACCAAGTCTGAGGGATAATCACAAACACTAACATGAACTGGTCTCTCTCTCTTTTACGCAGCAGTATCTCCATCTTATGATCTTTTAGGATACTGCAACTGAAGTCGTTTTATTGCCCATAATGTGTTTTGCTATCAGGGCTAACTCAGGAACCTTTTTATTTTTGGCATCTGTCTCGCTGGCCAGATACTATATAGGAGTTGAAAGCAGTGTTGGGTCAGGGATTCTGTCAAGTTCAGGAGTGTAGGCTGTTATCAAGCAGTATGTAACTCAATCATCTGGCTATGTGCTTTAAACAATTACCACGACCCTCAGTATCTCAGAGGAACTCAGAGCTAGCAGCCACCTGACCCCTCTGCTCATTTGATATTCTGATCTTAAATGAGCCTTTCTTATTCCCTAAATCAGTATCTGTCCCCACTGACCCCCAACCTGCCCCTGCCAGCCCTAACCTCAACTTCCACACTTGGTAGCACTTTCTGGAAAATATTCTTAAGCTTAGATGTAGAATAAAGAGGGCTGTGGTCTTCCACTTCAGGTATATTTGTGCCATGAAAAAGCTTGTAAGAATGCCCATAAACCCCTGTCCATCTGGCTCACCGTGTGCACCTCTAAACAGTACTCCAAACCAGCAAGGCGGGACGTGGTCCACTTTCCTCTCCAGATCTATTCTCTATGTGACCCTGTGACCCGAGAGGTTGAGTCAAATGAACTGTATCTGCTTTATGTGGCTTCCTATGGATTTGGCCAACAGAAGACACAGGCAAGAGACTGGAGAGTAGGAGTTTTTAGCCTGTCCCCTCCCTGCTGGGCTAGAGGTTGGCAGAGACTACATTCCTACAACCACACCCAGTTCCTGTCAGAAAGCCCTCTCCTCCTGCTTCAGACCTCTGAACACAGCTATTCTTCAGAAAGACCTCTTGCCCTTTTGGGCCTAAGGGTGACAGTGCCCATCATGGCTGCTGGCCCTCAAACATCTCTGCCTCTTTCCTAACCCCACCTATGACTTTGTGAATGTCCTAAAGGGACCATTTAGGAAAGAGTCAGGTTAGGAAAGAGAATCTTCCTTTCACTCTTTTTGAGTGTGCCACCTCTCTCCTGCCAGGACACCGAGTGATACATACTTATGAGAACCATTCTTCTTTTCCTTTAAAAATATTTAAAACATAATTTTTCATGTACAGTTAACGCTTGAACAACATGGGATTGAACAGTAGGGGTCCACTTACATGCAGACTTTTTTTTTTTCTTAATTTCTATTTAAATTTGTTAGCATACAGTGTAATATTAGTTTCAGGCGTACAACGTAGTGATTCAACAATTCCATACACCACCCGGTGCTCATCACAAGGGCCCTCCTTAATCTTCATCACCTATTTAACCCGTCCCCCCACACACCTCCCTTCTGAAAACCATTGGTTCATTCTCTATAAGAGTTTGTTCCTTGGTTCGCCATTCTCTTTTCTTTTCCCCTTTGCTCATTTGTTTTGCTTCAAATTCCAAATGAGTGAAATCATATGGTTGTCTCTTTCTCTGATTTAATTCATTTAAAATAATACTCTTCTAGCTCCATCCATGTCACTGCAAATGGCAAGGTTTCCTTCTTTTTTATGGTTGAGTAATATTCCATTGCATAAATATACCATATCTTCCCTTTTGCCCCCTCAGATCTAGGGTTAGAGTGAGCATGAGAGTAAGTGCCTGGCATCCGACAGTTCAGAGACCTCTCTAGAGAGTAAAACCCCAGACTTCTGCTTGGCTGAAAATAGAATGGTAGCCATCTACTGAACTGAGGCAAGGAGGGGATTTTGGGCTCTAAACAGTCTTTAAATAGATATTCAATTATTCCTTCTGTTTTTATCTCTACCTTCATACCAATTTTCAGAAATTCTTAAATATTCCAGAAATTCTTAAATATTTGGGGTCTTCTCCAAAATAACTAGGCTGCTTCCTAGCTTTCCTTATTGGGTGTTCAGGAATCCACTTTCCAGATCTAGGGTTAGGGTTAGGGCCAGGGTGAGGGTATACGTTTGCTATTCACCATGCAGACGTTGTTTGATAATTATAGTACAGTACTGTGAATGTATTTTCTCTTCCTTATGATTTTCTTAATCATTTTCTTTTTTCCACCTTTACTGAAGGAATACAGTATATAATATATAACATACAAAATAGATGTTAATCAATAGTTTATGTTATCAGCAAGGCTTTCTGTCAATAGTAGGCTACTGGTAGTTAAATTTGGGAGTCGTCAAAATTTACATGCAGAATTCTGACTGCCTAATTCTGAATTAGGGTCAGTGTCCCTAATCCTCACATTTTTCAAGGGAGAAGTGCATTTTATGTTTGACCTCTTTGTACAACTCCAAACAGAGAAGTCACATAGTAGCAAAAGAATCAATAGCAAAAATCATGGGCTACATTTGGGGCTCCTTACTTTTTCTGGTGAGAGGTGGTACGCCTGGTACAAAAGACAGCAATGACCACAACCACCACAATGGTGACAACGCCAACAGAAACAATGATGACCAGCAGCATGCTACTGTCCAGGGGAGAGGTGGGGCTTCCATGCGGGCTGTTACTGCCTGGAGAGGGAAAACCGGGACATTTATTAGTGTTAGAGAATTCCAAACATGTATACACTCAGGCTATGGAAACTTCATGTGAACTTCTCTGTAATACACTCATTGCTGTGCCTTGCATACAGGTGTCTCACAAAATCTAGAGAGCCAAGTTTCTGCACTATGTACAGCTCTTAGCACAGTGCTTTGCACAAAGCTGGTTCAATAAAAGCTTCTCAAATTATACTAAACATTATACTTGGACAAATAACGGGTCTGCCCCTCATGGTCTTATATTATATTATGCATAAATTTGTGTTATAAAGCACCATTTGTAAATCATTTAGTTTTCTGACTTTCAAAACCATTTAAAAAATGTACATTCATAGAAAGCTGAAGTCTTCCCCACCATAGAGATGTCTGAGACCACAAAAAACTACTTGAAAAATACAGTCTGTTTTTATAAATACAGTCTTTGCAAAGTCAATTCTCTTATTCAGTTTCAGGAAAAAGCAGGTCTGTACATACGCATTAATTTGACAAATATTTACCAAGTAGTTTTACTATGTGCCAGGCATTGTTCTAGTTACTAAGGATGCAACAGTGAACAACAAAGATGTGACTGCTGGGGTAGGGGCAGAAAATAAACAAGTAAGAAATTATTAGTAATAAGTGCTGTGAAAAAAATAAAATGAGGGGATATGATACAGAGTGACTGGGTGGCTATTTTAGATTGAATGGTTGAAAAAGGCTTCTCTGAGGAAATGGCATTTGAGCTGAGATATGAAGGACAAGAAAGATCCCACCATACAAAGATGTGGAGGAAGAACATTCGAGACGGAACAGCTAGTGGAAGGATCCTAAGGCAGGAATGAGCCCTGGCATGTCCAAGGAAGAGGAAGGCAGCCAGTGTTGCTCAAGCAAGGAGAGATGCAAAGTTACAGGGAAGAAAGTGAGCACAAAAAGACAGAGATAGATGAGTGTGCAGAGGCTGGATCATTTATGACCCTGAGGAAATTTGGCTTTCCTTCCTGTTACTATTTCCCCACTGCTTACAGGATGAGGGCCAAACTCTGCGTCCAAGGCCTTTTGTAACTTAGCTCTATTCTGTGTTGCTCTTCTACCTTCTGGAACACACTGCTTTGCTTTCCACCTTGTTATAAAAGTTATGCATGCTCATATTATAAAACGTGGGAAATTCCACCAAACAGCTCTACCATAGATATCTGATGTCTTTCCTTCTAGCGATTCTCTCTCTCCTACCTAACAAACAGAGCTGCACAATGATGGATGAGCTGTCTTACCAAGTAATGAGTGTTTAGTTTCTAGAAGTGCCTAAGAAGAGTCATTCTACCCGTCTGGGAGATTGTGGAAGAAATTCCTAACATGAAGTTATGGCCTGGGAATCTGAGTGTTTAGAAAAGCTCCTAAAGTGATTCTCAAATACAACTCTGGTTTATAAACTTAGGATCTAATTCAAACTTTACCTATTGTGGGAATCCCATCCAGAACACTGTATTAGCTGACCTTCCAACTTTTGATGATATGATTTTATAGGCTACATCTAAGCACAGTGCTAGAAATCTGGGCTGATTTAGGAGGGCTTAGAGCTTATTATTCTACATTTGCTTTGATTATTTTTATTCTTCATCTGAGAGAAAGGTAAGCAGACAGATAACATATACTGAACATAACGACCTTTAGTAAAACAACATTTTTATATTTGGGAAAGACTACAGAGCTAGGGACTAATAAAATTAGACCATATTGAGGCTTTGCATAAATAACTTTCACTAACAGCAGTTTTGAGTTACAGGGTGGGATATGTGGTGGGACAGGCGGTACGAATCAGAGATTAGGGGCCTGGAGGCTAGCAGGGGTGGTGGGGGCAGTTCTTCCCTGTTCTCAACAGAGATGAATTCCCATTAAACTGCATTTGACCTCTAATTTCTGAGAGGGCCAAAACCCCCCAGGGAAGATAGAGTGAGAGTGAGCTGCCATAGGAGCGTGTCCTGTTAGGGACATTATGATAGGCCATTTCTTAAGCCTCATCTGGACTACTGCAACAGCTTCTTAACTCCCCACTCTGACTTCATAATCTTAGCCCCTGACTCATTCTTCGTTCATCAGAGTAATAACACTAGATACTCAATAAATGGAAATCCCAGTGTCCCTGTGGTAGGAGGTATCTTACATGTGCTATGCACAGGATGAAACTCACATTTCATAGTGTGGGTACCTGAGCTTTGGGCAGGCTGGTTCTAACCCACTACCTTCTCTGATGTGAGACTCTCTATCCTGTCTCTAGGCAGCGTGATCCCTGGAGAGAGCCGGCTGTTTTTTGTTGCCATGCTTTCGCACATGCTGTTACTATTTCCTGAAATGTCCAACCCCCTCCTTGACAAATGTCAAGCCATCTTCCATGCATCCTTTCATATCTGGGTCAGTCATCACCTCTTCTATGAAGCTTTCCCTTTTCTCCGTCAGCTGGTTTGTTACCCATTCCTTTTGCTCCCATAGCCTGCTACACAGAACCTGAACCTTTAAAAACATGTGTGAATGAAAGTATAAATGAAAGAAGAGACAAGGAAGTAATTGCTTTTCTCATAATCATGAATATTCTATGTGGACAGCACATAAATGTAACACATGCATCCCAGGAGGAAAAATTCAAGAGTCCTAGAACTCAGCCTAGGACTCAGATTCCCACCTCTGGTACAGCACCCCACACCTTTTAGGCTGCATGTGATAGTGGAAAAGGCACAATCAGAAGTCAGAAGACCTGGACTTTGGTTCTAGGACTTCCATAATTAGTGGGTGGACCCAGGCACTCACTTCACTCAGTCTCTTAATGTAAAAATGGGAATGACATCTGTTCTCCCTGCTTCACAGTGTTATGAGGATCAAATGTAATTTCACATGTGACAATAACTTAAAACAGTGAAGTTCTACAGAGAAGTAGGTGCCATCACTTAAGTAATCAGAAGGCACCAGCTCTTAGCCTGGCTAGGAAAACTGGGAAGAAGTTTTTAGAATTCCCAAATTAAAAACAGTGTGGTAAGCAGTGTGGGGGAGAAATTCATGATTCTGAAGCATTTCTTTGGCTTGTCGTTATGTGACGGATAATAATTTATTTCTGAAAGCAAGATTCTAATTTTATAGAGGCAGGCAGTGGGCAAAGGAAGACTCATTTGTTTAGAATTAATCTTATTTTAAGTTGTGTATGTGGGGAAACAATTTTACTTATGGATCCTATAATGAATGGGTAATTCATTATAATTCAGCAAACATTTGCCAGAAAATGCCTAAATTAAACTCTACTCAGTAAAAGGAAATAGGTAACATGCCACAACCCACCACAAACAAGCTACAAAAGACTTATTGAGACTCAAGTAGAACTGTGTCATGCCCACAGGAAGCCAGAAGAGCCATAAGAAAGGCTTTACCACTCATTGGAGGTTTGTAGTCAGATCCTAGGTCTGGAAGCCGGCTTCCTTTTCCTGCAGACCCTGAGGCTGAAGGAGAAGAAATCGTATCAGTAAGGGTCCAAGCCATTGGTGTGATGAGTCTGCTTCACATCAAGTGTGTTCTACAAAAAATATTTTCAGTCTACTCTGTCCATGAGAAAACAAAGTAGCACATAAACAACAGGGAAAAAAATAGGCTGTGCAAAGCAAACTAAGGTATATAGCTTTCTATGCAATGAGGCATCTGAAAGGCTGACACCCTTGTTCCATGGCTGTATCTAGCATGTAACTAGACTGCCACTTGCTGTTCATAAGGTGGGAACACACCCATTCCTCTCGCCCAGGAAACAGTTCCTGAAAGACTGCTCAGAGCACTTATGGCAAAACTAGCTTCTCTCAGAAAAGGAACAGAGGGACCAGCTGGGTTGACTTCTGCATTACTGAAGTGGACTTTTCCAAGGACCTGGCTATGTTGATCTGGCCTACCAGGTATCAGTATTGTTTGGATTTTTTTTTTCTCCAATTATAAAGTTGCCTTTCTCAGTATAAAGTTGCCTTAAGCAGGAGCAGGAAAACAAGTGGAGGTTCAAATCGGGTTCTCAGTTCCTGCTCAGCCATCTAAATACCCAAGGATGGAAAAATGAAGTCTTCCCTCTAGTTGCTCACCAAGGACACTGTCTCCTAATCCATCATAATGAAACACAATGAGTGAGGCTGTCGACCTTAGGCTTGGGACCACCTCACAAACAGACTTCATGAAATACAAAGATCAGTTTTTTTAATAATTCATATTCTTGGTCTTAGATTTTGTTCTTCACATTTATAGAAAAAGCTGCTTGGGTAAAGCAAATATAAGGAGCCCTTTCCCAGTAAATCAAAGGTATTCCTCAATTCAAGGTTTGGATTTCTCCTGAAGTCTGAAAGAATTGCAAAGTCAAAGCTGCTCCTCATGGTTAATACAGGACACTGCCTGCACTTGAGTACTGGCCTTTCGTGTACTTGACTTTTGGCAAGTTATTCATTATTTTGGGGTCTTCGTTTCTTCATTGTAAAACAGTGATAATAATTGTTTCTACTTCATGAAATGGTATTGATGATTAAATAGAAATTTAATCCTATAAAATATTTTGAATACCGCCTGACACATAGCAAATGTTCAACAAATATTAACTACTATTATTACAAATATAATAAATCTCCAGGGAAGAATATAATCTTTCCCTTTGCAGAGACACAGAGTACGAAGCTTCAGAAAACACTTAAAAATGAGTTATTTCTACAAATAAAGCTTGGCTAGAAATACATAAACTAGATGTGTTTCTACAAAATATTACAGCTAATGTCAAGTACTTCTATAAAAGTTAATAGCATTGGACTAAATGAACAATTAAAATCTGAACATCTGTGTATATAGTTCATTGAACAGAATAAATATCTAGATGAAAACACTGTTTTCTATGTTTCAAGAAGCTCAAAACTCCCAAAGTAATGCAAGCTGTTGGGTATCCAAAAGGGCACATTTAACTCCGAGTCCCTGATCCCTTTCCTGCTGTCCATACTTGTTACTTCATCCCCTTGTTTCTGTCGCCATCATTCCTGCCAAGTGGCACACACCACAGGCCATGACTCCAGCTGTTCTTTTCACTGTGATGAAGTCTAGTTGGAGGGGATGACTTAGTACTTGCAAAGCTCTTCACATTTAGGTCTGCTTCTTTTTCAGGTAGCCCACCTATAAGTCCAACTATCCAGAGTCCAACTATCGTAGCATGTAACTAATTGCCAAAGAACACACTTTGCCAATAAACTGGTTGGCTGAATTCCTGTATTCCCCAGCATTTTTTTCTTTTAAATATAACCTATGAGCAAGAAATTCCAAGGATTAACCAAACACCAAAAATAAACATGGGTAAGGAATTTAAAGGCTAGAGGTGTGGTGCAAGTGAAGACTTGTACTCTAGCTTACCGAGTGAAGTAGAGGAAGGACAGTGAGCACATCTGTAATCTGTGCACACAGTAGGGTTCTTCTTCTGTTCTCATGCTTAAGTTAAAATGTCTACCATCATCAAGGTACCTCACACATATACACAAGAACATACAAAGAAAGACTCACTGAGTGCAAACACATTTCTAAAGCCTGAAACATGTAACCTCAAGTTCTGACTCTTCCTTGCCATTCACCAAAATCCAAAGACTTTTTATTTCTAAAAACTACTCTTAAATCTTGAAAGCAATCATCAACTTTCCCTTCATTGCTCTTGGTATAGAAAACAGATACCAACTGTAGCTGACTCCCTGGAGATGAAAACCACAATCCAGTTACTTCTCCACCATAGCAATTATAGCAGAAAAACCATGTGGACAGATAATTTCAAGAATGGACACTGAGGCCAGTGCCTCTTAAGTTTCCATTTTAAATTGTTTCTACCTCTTTTGAAATGAGCAAGTATATTTAAGGGAGAAATGGAGAAAAGCTCTGAAGTAAGCTTAGGGTAACAGAATAAATAGCACTAATTTTGTCATGGATGACCATAGAATTCATTAGGGTAGATTCTTTGTGAGGGGAGGGAAATAGGGTATCGGCTGAATTTGATTACAACTTTTCATTCAGAAATACTAATACAATCCTAGATGCTACAAATATGACAAACAACTGTGAGGGTTCCCATCATGGCCCAAATGCCTATCATTGTTACAGAATTTCAGTATCTTAACACAAAGGACAAACTGACCCATACTTAAGGCCAATCTCCTACAGCTGCAGAATTTCATCTACAGCTCCGTTTCTGATGCTGCCTATTTAGCTTCTAAGTAGATCCCCAGCTTTTCAGATACCCCAAGTGCCACAAACATGGACTCAACTCCACTTTGGCCAATGAATATGTGGTTTTTAACACAAAGTACCGATTTTTGGGGGAAAAAAAAAAGAAACAAAAACAACAAAAAGCTAGTAATAATAGGTCACAAAAGAGAGGAAAGGAAAGAAGAGGCCATCTAACTGATTTACCTTGATCATTAGGCATTTTATCAGAGGAGTCCGCTAACAGGCCAAGCACAGGGGAAGAAAAAACAAGAGCAAGGATCACAAGCTTTGAAGATGGGACAGGCAGAATTTTTAAAGGAAAAAAAAAAACCCACAAACTTCCAAACAAATTGTATCTTGTTTTCAGTACTAACAGAAAAGAAATTTCCAGACTCAGTCCCCAGCTAAATTTTACTCCTAATCTCACATGGTTCAGTACTTTATCTTTACTTTTTTATCTAGAGATTTCTTCAAACATCCCCCGTTTCTCTCCACAAAGGTCCATAAGCCTTTCAGGTTGAGAGCCTGCATGTGTTGAAAGGAAATTAACATGCTATTACTGTACCCAGTAACTAAACGAATCACATCTGATCTGACCGGTAAAAACTTTAGGATCATTGCAATTCATCTGCCTTAAACAGCCTTGTAAGTGATATGGTTAGGCCAATAACCTAGGGAGCACTGATTTGGTGGTCAACGGGTGAGTGAAGGATCATTTTGAGATAAAGGTTCACACTGTGGCTCATAAACTCATCATCAGGACTTCTTATATTCTCCACAGTTTCTATGTGCTAAAGTTATATGTGCAAGCATTGCCTCACTAAAGAGACATATAAGAAAACACTGTTTAGTGGAGTTTTACCTTTAGGTGTTCTGAATTGGACGGCTTCAGACATGGGTCCCATGCCCTTTGAGTTTCGGGCTTGGATTTTAAAGTAGTATGGTGTGTCAAGTGTTAACTCTTGTATCTGGTGAGTCAGCCTGTTTCCCACAACAGGCTCAATAACCCAGTCGTGTATCTCTGCGTTCACATCCGTACTGTAATATATGATGTAACCTGTCCAAAGGAGGAAATGAGAAAAGATACCTTATTCCTGCTTTTTCTTTGCAATCGGTAAGTCAACAAAGATATATGTTATGACATATACAAGTAGAAAACTAGCTACTGATTAAACAGCAATGGTGGTGCACCTGGGTGGCTCAGTGGGTTAAGCATCTGGCTCTTGATTTCAGC